TCATTTCATAGTAAAATGAATATAAAATATGAGACGTGCGCTCTCTGCAAACTAAATTAATTAATATCACATTAATAACTGTGTGTCTTGGAATTAGTCGTATTTGTGATGATTTGAAGTTGCAATTATATGCGAATGTGTGCCACAGAAATTATTTTGGATGAGCAACTATTTAAATAGTCCAGAAGAAGAGATGCAGTTGAGGAGAAAAAGTTCCCCAATAAAGTCCCGCAACGCAGTACCCCAAATAGATAATAATAATGAGAGAAAATGTCTTGTCTAATGATCATGATAGTTTATCTAACTACAACAGCTTAAAATAAAATGTGTTTCATTATTTGTTTTCATATCTAGTTTTGGTGATAAGAGAGGTCATGAGGCACACAACTGCTGCAAACATCTTTGTAACAAAACACTTGAAGTGATAGAAAATAAAAAATGCTTCGATATATTTTGCTAAATAGATTAGACTTTTAAAAAAAGCCAAATAATATTCCATATTTTTTGATCAACTATGTCACATTATATTGAAAAGCCAACATTAAATTCAATTTTAAAAAGTTAACAAGCAGCCTTTGCATATGTTTTTTTTTTTTTTTTTTAAATACATTGTCTGATCTTCTAAGTGATGTCTTCTGTAAGTCATATGTGCACTAACAAAAAAGGGGATTGAATTTGATCCATAGATTCGATCTTGTGAAGTGTTTCTTACAGAGTAACATAGATGTGAATGGTTCTTTCTGTAAATTACATCCTGACTGGAAACTCCTTTATTCCAGTCATGTAATTTTCATTTTCTATGGCCTGTGGAAACAAGTTAACCATACAATAGGTAGCAACAATTTCTTAGGCTCTGCAATGTACCATAGAAATATTCTTGGTGGCTCTGATTATAATGGTAAATATGCTAATGCCCTTTTCTTATTTATCTTTTCTTTTTTTTTTTAGTTCTTATCAAATTCTACATTCGCAAAAGTAAAATTTACAAACAAGACTTTTTTTTTGTATAAATGAAGGAAATAGAGCAATACACATCTCCCTTTTCTATTTCACGAAACACCAAAGCTTTAAAAACACTGAATGTAATAAATAATTTTACATTTTTAAGTAAACCTATTGCTGCTTTTCTTTATTTGTATTCAAGCTAGTTGATTTGTTTTTTGTCCTTTTCTGTTGTACAGCCATTTGTTTCACTCTGTTAATGATCCTCCTGTACCGTTACTGTTGATGTCTCTCTCTGTTACTCTGTGCTCTATGTTTGTAATAATAAAAATTAAAAATAGCACCCTATGCATGTGAAATATAAGTTTTTATTGGTGGGATCTCCACTGGTCCCTGATTGCTGAGAATCTAGAAATCTACATTAGAGCTGAATGATGAACGTGGATTGTCATCAAACATAGTATTTGTATCTAAAAAGTTTAATCTGCCGTCATTCCCAAGTGATTTCAATGCAGTCACCAGCCCAGAAAACACACACAAAAAGACTTTCTACTTGCAGAACCAAGAGCAACTCTGCAAAAGCACAGCGTAAAATGTTCTCAGAATCAAGGTTAAATAAAGCTGTGGTTTGAACCAGGTCAGGAATTAGACCTCTTAAAGGTCAAGTCAGTCACACTGCTGCTCCACGTTTTGCTTTCTAATTGTTGGCAGCACGTTTGGCCAGGTACTTACCTGTTAAGCCTCTCTGACGGTGGGAGGTCAAAAGTAGAAGGAAAAACGGAGCGGGCAGGATGCTGTGCAGCCAGTAGCGACACAAGTGGGGCATCCAAGAAGGACGAGAAGCGGCTCGACTTCTTACAGTTTTCTCGCCGTTTGGATTGAGAATAAGGTAAGAAAACTGCAGTGAAGGAGCTGAGGAGGCAGCTTGGACTAATGGTGGCAGGCAGCAGGCTACGTTTACGTGATGCTCTGGTTTGATAACAAAGCATTTTTCTACAGTATTTTTTGCAACATATATGCATGCATATATTTATCGAACATGTGCAGATGAAGGGTGGATACATGATGGATGTATGTTTCTGTTCATCCACAGCATGTCCACAGGAGAGAGGACCCCATCTACAACCTCCGTCGACTCCGCCTCAACGGAGGGGTATGTTTACATTCATACAAAGCTGCAACTGTGTCTGTGCATTTTCCTGAGATGGATAGAAATTGTGTCTCCATTATCACCTAATAATGCATTATCACCTTGACAATCAATGAACCTATAGGAAAATAGCAATACAGTTTCTCTATTGACTCTTGTGTTTCTTTAGAGCCCTTAAAAACCTATAATGTTCCCTATTCTGAAGAGGCATTGTTCAAAAAAACCCGTTCTTGTAGGATATATGAAATATGCCCCATGATTCCATCTTCTCTGTTGTAGAAATGGTACCTCTGCTGAGGTCTCGCCCTCAGGTTCAGTCTCTGAAGCGCCCAAGAAATCATCCAAGAAGTCCAGCAAAAAGAACACAGAGAATAAGACCAAAGTCTACAACTCTGTGCTCAACAGTGTTTTTGGGGCGGTAAGTAGCTGATATACTTATTAAAGTTACAAAAAAAAAGATGATGTGACCTTTTAAAAAGTTCAATTGTTTAATTATTCAAGATAAAAATCTGAGTTTGAGATTGAAGTCTCCAGAGATGATCATTATCAGGAGTAAAATTCCCAGACGTCACATGTTAAAATGTCAGAGTCAGAGATGAGGCAGAAGCCCCGTCGTGTAGCTCGTTCCTGATCTTTTCTGAAGCTGCCACCACTAAGCCTGGTGTGTCTGTTGTATTAGTGGCTCATTAGTTGAGGCTTAATGTCACAAATCATTAGGGTCACATCAGTGAAGAGCGCTGTGCAACCACTTTGTCGAAAATATTTATTACATGTATCGTTGCCTAACAAAAAAAACGCAGATCCATAAACATGTGCAAAGCCGCAGGTTTAGTCCTCTTTGTGTTGTGTCATTTTATTTTGTTGCCAACAACAACAAAAAAAAGACACTCTTGACATTTAAAATTGTGCAGCAGTTCAAAAGCTTTAACATGATGAAAAGTTCTCGATAATGTTCCACTTTTTGTATTTAACTGCAGCATGTTTGATTTGTGTTTCTGCAGGAAAGAGAACTGGCTCAGGCTGAACTAGATGGTAAGTTTCACTGCCACAGCTCCACATCCATGTAGATTTACTATATTACATTTCAAATGGAGCCCCCACAGTTGGAACTCAATGCAACAAAAGTCATCGCGTTTCATTTTTTCAGTACTTCATGTGTGCATCTTTATTTTTGACGACAACCCCAACATCTCCTTTCGCACTCATGCAGCCCCACGTTGTCACACTCCTGCCTGTGACTGTCAGGACTATGCATTCACTGTGGTTGTCCTGATTGGTTCATGGCAAACATGCTGACGTGACAACTTTATCATGGCCCCATTTGCTCCAAATATATTTAAGGCTTGTTTTTGTGTCTTCTGCCAAAGTTTAATCTTGCAGTGTCGCACTGAACGGCCAGCAATGGCTCTTTCCACTGTTCCATAGAGGTTGATGTTGTGTAATGTTCTGGAAACTGTCTGAGCTGTCCCAGGAACTCCAGTTTCAACCGATAACCTCTGTGCCAAGTTTGCAGGGCTCGTCCGTCTCTTTCTTAGCGTTGGATTGTCCGATTAGTGCAGTGATACTTGTAGGGGGATGGCCACAGCAGCTCTGATCAGTGGCATTATGGTTCATCCTGTACCTCCTCTGAATACTGCTGCAACGGATTTTTAGTTGTTCACCAATTTTTCTGCATCTTTGAGAAGTGTCAGTTTCTCTGGCAAATGTTTTTTAACTTGTATCTCAGTGATCACATGCAGGCTAAGTTTTGTTGCATTGGGTTCCTACTTAACAGTCTGTATTTTCAGTATAGTCCTCCTACAGTGTTTGTGTTTGATTGCTGATAGAAAAAAAAAAGAATACTACTTGTCAACTGCAATTATTGAGCGATGATAGCATTTGGAACGTCCTCAGTTTTGTTGTATGCTGTATAACATAGCCCTAGGTTCATCTCAAGTGACATTAGAAAGCCTGTAATTCAATTTTCAAAACTGAAATATCAAATTAAGTAAGAACATAACCACGCATTGCTCTGTAAAAAATAACTGCCAATAAGAACAGACTCTATAAAGCAGTTATGAGCTAAAAAATCTGGAGTATGTCGCTTTCACCAGCCACCTTTTCTGATCACTTGAACAGTCTATTTTCTTTATAAAAGAAAAAAAAAATGTTGTTTTTCAATTTGCAAATCTGGATGTGACATAAACTTGAACCCCCCTGAACTGTTGACATCTCTCTCGATCCTTCTCACAGAGCTCCACGAGGCCTTTAAGGAGTTTGACTATGACCAAGACGGCTACCTGAACTACAAGGATGTGGCTGAATGCATGAGGACCATGGGATACATGCCCACTGAAATGGAGCTGCTGGAGATAGTCCAGCAGATCAAGATGAGAAGTGAGGCTTTAAAAATATGTGGAATTAAGGCCGCAGCAGCATTCATAGGTTACCAAATAGAAAATGTTCACCAAGCGTGAGACATTTGTGAAATACTTTTGTTGGTTGGTGCAGTTTGTTTGACTGTTTTTGTTTCTACCGGGCCTCTTCCTTCCCCACAGTGGGCGGGCTCATGGACTTTGAGGACTTTACTGAACTGATGGGACCCAGGATGATGGGAGAGACCGCTCACATGCTGGGACTCAAGGAGCTCCAGTCGGCCTTCGTACAGGTCAGTAAGCTGACAACGACACAACTCAGGTAGAATCAGGGAGAATGGAAGGAAAGAATCCGATACAGTTTTTAAAGCTCACATACGACATCGAGGAACTGCTCATGTCAGGGTTTCGCAGCTATAAATAAAAATGTATTTGATGCTCATTTGGAAAAAAAGTATGACATCTTAATACTCACATTGCTCCAACCACTTTCAAAGTTTGACCTCGATGGAGACGGAAAGATCAACCAAGACGAGATGAAGGAGGCAATTAAGAGCCTGCTGGGGGAGAAGCTGAAGAAAGGAGAACTGGAGGAGATCTTAAAGGAGCTGGATATTAATGCAGACGGCAGCATTGACTTTGAAGGTGGGACTGAGCAGTTCAACACATTTATCATGCTTCATGCACTGCACCATCGCAGGATTTATTCAACACTACTGACCTCTTCAGATAAAGTGTGATCAATTCAGCACTGACCCATCTCACTGTCTTCTTTCTCCCTTTTATCCAGAGTTTGTGATGATGCTCTCCATTCGCTAATCGTTGGAAACACCAGCACCATGGACTCTGAATCATCACGAAATACAGCTATGACGGAATATTCTACATTTTTCAACTTGTGTTTGTAATGTAGACATAGACTTCTATCATATAATGTGTGCCTAACTGTGCAACAATTGTTTAAATGATGGATTGTTAAGAGAGGGGAAGTGACGCTGTACAACTCCCGTATGGCATCAAATGCAGTGCATGGTGAGTCTTACTATAGTAGATACAGGAACCTTTTGCTGTAAAATGTAAATACGACTGAAATATTTTGCTATTTTAATAAAGAAATGAAAACAGTTGTGCCTGTCGCTGATACATATCGACAGCATCCGTGGTAGGAAATGACTGAATGGGCTGAACACGTTTACCTCTCAAACAGACTTTATTCCAAAAAACATATCTTTTATTATCCCCAGTTTCATTGTTAAACAAAATGGAAATGATGTCTCTCATCATCTAGAGAACATAAGTTAAATATAAATAAAATATTGTCATTTGTTAACAACGATGCAGCTTTGAGCTTTGTCAGGTCTACTGTCTTTAGAATTGGAGAAGCGTTTGCACATCCAAAACCATGGTGCAGCTTTGTCAGGAGAAAAAAAAAAAAAATCTTTCAAAATCAAATCTCACATCAGGCCAACATTTGATGTCGGCTCTGAAACCAACCGTAAGAAGAACTTATCTCCTATTTGAAAATCTACAAGCTTAACACTACTGGTAACTTAAACTGCTTATTATTATAACATCAAACTATATGTTCACACAGTTCAGGAAGATCTGCAACATGCAGCACAAGTAATCTGCTCAAATGAAAACTTTTCTTGTTGCCAGGCAAGAAACGGGAAAAAAACACGAGGGGAAAATATTCACTCCCCTCAAAAGCAACAAGTCAAAGTGGTATCAGTGTTTCACATGAGTTGAATGAGGCGTCGACATCACAGGAGTCAGGATATGTTCGATTTATGTTTTTCTCTTGAAAAAAAAAAGAAGTCACATTCATGTTGTTCACAGTCGGCCACCATGCAGCCTTGATGCATCTGTCAAGCTTTAGTTCAGTTTTTAATGAGGTGGAAAATCCCAAACCTTTGTTCTACGGAAACAAGTGATGTTGGGATAAACAGACTAAAGAATAGCTCCTCAAAGTCTGTTTATTTCTGTCTTGTTCGTTCAGAAAGTGCAGCAGACTCAAACAAAACCTGCTTATCATAAAGCTTAAACACTTCATGTAGGTACATTTCACACTCCGTCTTTAAGTTTTGCCAAATGAATTGCAAAATGCAAAGTTTGTCCCAAAACTTTGACCAAACTACCTCCTGGTCTCTCTACTTGCATCTCTCGTGCCTCACACACTCATCCATTTCTCCTCCTCTTAGGGGGAATGTTTGCACTGACTTTTGTAAACTTTATGACAATGAGAAATACCATCCAAAAAGCAGACTTTGTAAACAAATGCATACATGTCTTCTGAGCATGTGAGAACTTGCTTAGTTATATCTATTTCTTTTTTACTTTGCATGGCGCTCACATTGGCAGGGTTGAGGGTATTCAGGCTTTTCCAGGATGGCACACAGTAAAACTGGATGCATACACGATACTTTAGAGTGCTGCTTTGGATTAAAGCCAAATGGTACAAGATTGCATGTTGCATCATTTCCACAGCGTTGTGAGCCTATTATGGATCCATTTGACAGTTGTTTTGTACCGTAAGTGTGCGTAACTATGGTCTTAACCACTACAAAATGAATGGGCATATTTTCCAGTAGTCACACTGCAGTAACTCAAATCACATCACAACATCCTTCGATGTACAGCCCACAACACAACACAAGTGGCTACACTGCCTTCACCTCTTGTCTTCATGTCAACGCTGGTCTCTACATGCCATCAAACCTCTCAGTTTCACCTCTTCTTGTGACTTCCCTAACCTCTTTCATTTTAGTCATCCCCGTTTTCTTCTGTCAGTCCCACTAAATGGTAGATAGATAAAGATGGGTAAGCTTCTTCTATTTCGTCTATCCACAACTCACACACGTCGTCATTGATCAACAGGACAACCGCTTGGCTGGTAAGACTTCTCCGCGATCTTCTATTGTTTACAGCTCGTTGGTCAGCTCCTCTGCAAACTCAGCCATGATGTCGTGCACCCAGATGTCTCTTTCTTCCTGTGAAGTGTCGACCAAGAAGACGGTCAACCTCCTGTCCCACGGGTTGGTGGCTTCCTGTACGGCCTCCAGCTGGGCCACCAGAGGCTTCTTCTCCACGTGGTTCCTGAAAACGATGGAAGCCTCCTCTGACCACTGCCTCGGCTTCACTCCTGTTGTTGGAGACAGACATGAACCGAGCAGTTACGAGCTGAAATTCACGTTCACATCAATGACAAAGAAAGCTGGGCTTCTTTGTTCATGTGATCACATAATTTAGTCATATTTAGCTTCAACAAGTTCTCGTTTTGATAGAAAAATAAATGTGTTATTAGTTATGGTTAAGATTAGCTGTACTTGACATTCAGAGTCCAAAAATGTTGTGCACAGGAGACCCAACAAAAAAAGGCCCAGCCATAACAATTAGCCCATGTGAGGGCTGGTCCGAATAGCAATTTCTGATCTCCGGACATCCATCCATCCATTTTCTATACACCGCTTTATCCTCACTAGGGTCACGGGGGGGCTGGAGCCTATCCCAGCCGACTTAGGGCGAAGGCAGGGGACACCCTGGACAGGTCGCCAGTCTATCACAGGGCCACACTTAGAGACAGACAACCAAGCACACTCACATTCACACCTACGGACAATTTAGAATCACCAATTAACCTCAACATGTTTTTGGACTGTGTGGGAGGAAGCTGGAGAACCCGGAGAGAACCCACGCTGCACGGGGAGAACATGCAAACTCCACGCAGAAAGATTCCGGTGCCCCCACCGGGACGCGAACCGGCAACCTTCTTGCTGCGAGGCAACAGTGCTACCAACTGCGCCACCTTGCAGCCCCGATCTCTGGACAATCGGTCCCAATTAATAACGAATATCCTGAGGACTTTTTTTTTTGTCGACGGGGGTGGGGGGCGCTCGGGCTCCTACGAGCTACAGTGAGCGTTACGCGACGCACAGGCCGCATTTGGCTACACAGACCAGTTTCTGTATTTAGGTTAGCGGTGACGGCTCCGTTTACGCGGCGGCGGGGATATTCAGAGGTGCAGTTTGATATCCCGATTCCAGCACAGCGAACGAATAGTCAGCTATTCGGCTCAGCCCTAGCCCACGCTAGCATGTAAAATGCATTAAATGTATGCTGTAATGAGTCGTCAATTTGTCTGAAGTCATTTTCACTTGGTCCATCTCTTCTGGACTCATGTCTGTTCTGCTCCACTTCATTTGTGTCTATTTCCACGTACAGATTGCTCCGGTGCATGAACAAATGGATTGAGCAACTAGTGCATGAAAACAGACCCACAGAGTTGCAAAACAGCAGCAGGGACACTTATACTGAGCTGAAATGAAATGAGTGCACATAAAATAAATAAAAGACTTTGTTTTAATACTTCCGCTTTTACAATGCAGTGTCACTCTCAGCCCGTTTATAAATGCAAGAGGAGGGGCAACAGTTTCAAAGAGAGGAACCCACATGCACGAGTATGAAGAACAAGCTGTCAAAACATAGAACGGAGAAGCTCGATTCACAACACACACAAAAAGGGCATCATTACCGCACCGCATCTTCATATAGCAGTCAGTTGTTTGTCGCTAAATGTCATATTAAAATCACACTCTGCACATGAGCCGGTACAAAACAGCAGGTAAACCGAGTACAGTCTAGTGACTACATTAGTAACGGCCATCAGATTGTATTCTCGCGTAGCTCTCTTTATGATTTCCAGTCTACTCACCAGCCAGCTGAGCAGTGATTCCCTGGAACGGCAGCTGTCTGAACTCTTTGATCAAAGGTCTGAGCTGGGTGCAGCTGACCAGCTCATGTCTCCCATAGTCCAACTCGTACACAGACACCAAGCCATTGGTGAGAACGCCCTTCACTAACACACGATGCCAACTGAAGAACACATGTCGGAAAAGAAGAAGAAGTCAGGGAGAATGCAACTGTTCATGATACACTTCAGAGGAAACACTAGAAATCAGAGTAGCAAATTCTACTTGTATGTATTTTCTAGGTTTGGCTCAGAGCTACGAGTATCTTTAAAGAGTAACCAGACAGTTCAAGGTCTAAACAATAAACTTTCATTTATTTAGTTCACTCACTTGTTCTCCACTTTCGCAGCATATATCTGATTCTTCTCTATGTTGAGGGGTTTCTCCTCAGTTTTGTTGTAGTAGAGTATCATCTCTCCCATCAACACCACCAGTTTATACATATCTCTCCATGGCTGAAGCACAAAGTGGCCTGGATGGCACGCCACTGATACGTAGACATCTATGTTGTTTCCTGGGAATAAAAATCCAAAAATAAATCCTTAAGTCCAACATGACTTCTTTTGTGGGAGTTCTTACAATAACAAGCAGTAAAAAATCGATGTATGTGATTCCAAAAAAGACACACAACAGCTTTGTCTTTTCTTTAAAAATATAATGTACCTGTTGGGGGCAGCTCTTGCAGTGGTGGCAGCTGGAGTGAGGATGAGGGGGATGCGGGTGAGGAGGGGGATGGTGGGGTTTCTGGTGGGCTGGAGGAAGTTGTGTTTCCTCCTCCTCCTTTTTCTCCTCCACCCCCACTGCTTCTGGATCCTGACAGGGCCTTCCTGAGATGAGGTTTGACTGGGAGAGAAGTTGATGTCGGACTGCCATTGGTGGATTCACTGGTGCTGGAGGGCTTGGAGGATACAGTGGGTGCGGAAATCTTGGCGGGGCTGTGAAATTTAATTAAAACTGTCATTTCTAAATTCAGTTTCAGTTGCTTAGTTTATTCCTGAGAAGTAACCAAAAACATAGGTATAAAGTAAGACATAACCAATACATTAGCTAACTAGCTAGAAGAATAACTAAGTTGAACAAGCAGCAGAAACCTGTGGCTTGTCAGGAAGACGTCTGGTTGTTGTTTGAACAGGTCAGACTGGGCCATCTGGTGGTTGAGGCTGCGGGCCGGGTCGTGGAAGTTCTTGTCGGTGAACAAGTGGACGTAGATGCAGCGCTTGGTTTCATCCACCTTGGCAACCTTTTGAGGGGGGCGCCGAGAGTGTGGAGGTACATGAAGAAGAAAAACAGGAGGAAAGATGCAACAAATGAGAGACTAACGTAAAAAGTGGGGGCCGTGATTCAAAGCAAAGGGAACTCAACACACATCTATTACATGAGGCTAGTGTGTCGGAGGGGGATCCAACAGGTACAAACTAGATTTCTGCACACTGTCGAACTTGGAG